CGCGCCGCGCCCGCTGACCCCGGGGCCCCGCTCCTCTGCGCCCCGGGAGAGCAGCGCCCACGGCTGCGCCCGTTTGATGTGTTACAGCTACAGCTCTGTGTGTGTGTGTGTACACGTATAGACACACCCGCTACACAGATGTATGTAATCCCCTATATAAACACACCCACACGTGTGCTATATAGATAAAGAAAAAACATATACACCAATTTATTTGTAAGTATAGATAGAAACCTGTTAAATATACGCCTATATATAATATGTAGCAATAACATATATATGTAGCTATAAACCTGCTGTGTATGTGTATATATATACACAAATATATCTGTGTGTATTACGTATAGAAATAAACCTGTTATTTACACATACACACATATATATATGTATGTTTTTATTATATACATATAGATATAAACATGCTATATAAGAGCCTTGTTTTATATATATAAACAAGTTTATATCTGTATACACACACATATATATGCGTGTATTAGATATAGAAATAAACCTGTTGTATTTGTAGATAAAAATCTGCTATATATACACACAAATATATATGTGTGTGTATTATATGGATACAGGTGTATACCTGTTATCTATAAGCCTCTTCCTATATCAATCAGTACAGTGGGTAGACAGGACCCCGTTGCATGTGCGTGCGCGCACACAGGTTCGTGTGTTATAGCTATAGGGCCGCAGCCCTGCAGAACAGGCTCTTCACTACCCGGACTCCGCTGCACATATTTCGTGTGTCTGTACGGGTGTGTACGACTATATCGGTACAGACGCAGGGACACGTTACTCACTAGCTCCCAGATGCGCGCGTGCGGAAGCCGCCGAGACACCGGGATTTACAAACCCAATCGGATCGCAAACGGTTCCCGGTCCCTCGCCTCCCGCCCGCGACATTTGCCCAGAAACCCGCAGCTGGCCCAGCAGCCCCCGACGGGACAGCGCGAGCTGGGCCAAGCCGGGCCGGGCCGGGGGAGTCGCTCGCTGCTTTGCACCAGCGCA